TGAAGTTGTCTGAAACTTTTTCAAAATTACAAACGATACATTCATTTAGGGAATAGACAAATGTTACAAGTGTCTTCATGTGCTCCAAAGCCTCTTTTTGCCTTCAAATCTGAAGTGCTGCTCACTTCAGTCCTAATAAAAGATATATTTTGTAATTAAACCTTATGCACAAGTCAGGCTTTTTATATACCATCGTGCTCTCATTGGAACTATTTCTTTATTTGCACACCATTTTGCCCAGCCTGTATTTATTATTGGACTATATTGAGAACAGCTGGACAGAATCACTAAAGATTTAACTATTCTTTTGGGGGACTGAAAAGCATTGGAAGCATTAAAAATTTCACTAGGATTTTTCACTTGGAGCAAATATGAGATTGGTGAAAAAGAAACAATTGAGACTTATACCTGGAAAGGCTTCACTCCAACCCCACCTTTGTTTTTTTTCTTTACTACATCTATGAGTTTATTGACAATCTGGTCAGCAACATAGTCTACATGTCTGCCACCCTAGAAAAAAAGTCAATATTTTAGAGGACATTACATGTATTTTGGCAATGCAGACACAGTAGTAACAACAAAGCAGTTGCTAGTACAGTAACCTAAAATAGAGTTAGGCTTTTATTCTGTAAAATCTGTTTTATTAGGAGTTTGCTATACAGGTAGTCCTCAACTTATGACAATTGAGCCCCAAATTTCTGTTGCTAAGTGAAACATTCGTTAAGTGAGTTTGCCCCATTTCACAATTTTTCTTGCCACCGTTAAGTTAATGACTGTAGTTGTTAGCCAGATTTTTAAGTGAATCTGCTTTTTGGAAAGTGCAAAAGGGGATTACATGACCCTGGGACACTGCAACCATCATAAATATGAATCAAGTGCCCAAGCACCTGAATTTTAATCACATGTCCATGGGGATGCTACAACAGTCGTAACAGGGGTGGGATTCATGGTAAATTTACATCTGATTCGCAGAACTGGTAGTTGAATCTACTGGCTGGCCCCACCCCGCAGTCTCCATGCAGCCCGTTTTGGATGCAGGTAAGTGCAGGGCTCATTTGGAGGCTCCGGGGAAGGCAAAAAACGGCCCCCAAGGAAGGCCACGCCCACCCAGCAACCGAGCAGAGAACTGGTTGCTGGAATTTTTGAATCCCACCTCTGGTCGTAACTGTGAAAACTGCTCATGTCACTTTTTTCAGTGCCGGTCACTAAATGAACTGTTTTAAGTTGAGGACTACTTGAATTTCTTGTTATACTCAATCATTTCTTTATTTTTTTTAAAACAAATTTTATTAATTTTAAAGACAAACAAACCATCATTAACCATTAAATACATAAACCTCTTTCCATTATAAATTTTACAAGCCAAATAAAACATTATTTAATACAACATAATTCTATTTTAGACCATTTCCATATGAACATACAAATATCTCTTATCAAATTTCTCCTTATTTCTCTTTACTCTTATTCAATTTCATTATTATTATTATTTTTCTCTATATTTATCCAATTTATAATTATCATCTATTTCTCTCTGACTTGATTACCATTCAATCATTTCTTTATTACAATTTCTCTACATTGTTAATTGTTAAAGAAAAGCTTGAGAAAAAATAACTCCAACCCCAAAAAGTCTACAACTAGAGTCCATTTGCAACATGACCTTGAGATCATATTACATAATCTATGTATTTTAGTTCTAAACTACAGTAAGATTAGGTTTAATAAAACACAAAATGCAGAATTGCCAAGTAAGAAAGGTTTTTCTTCACTGAATGCTTTGATAAAGTATGATTAGATGACAGATTCACAAAAGCCCTATAGACCTTTGTAACTGTTTACCTTAGTCGTTGCAATGCAATTGACAAAACTAACTTGTTGGAAACCCCTTTCACTCATGGTTAGACACACTTCCCACCGGTCATTAACTTTTTCATGGATTACTTTCAGTGCATTGCCAGTGTCGTCCACTTTATCTTTTATGTACATGTCTACGTAACTACGGAATCCTTTGACCTACAGAGGAGACAAAGTGCAAAAATTTCTACATTTTTTTTAAAGTTCTCTTGGCTGTTAACATGTTAAAAGGAAGGGACCAGTGAATTTTGCACACCGGCAGTTTCTTTTGCCCATTTTAGTAACTCACAGGTAATTTCTTTCCATTTAAGAATACTGTGATATTTTTAGCTGTTCCTGCAATATCATAGGCTCTGCGAGACATAAGAGCCACAGTATCTTTATCCAATACAGTCATTTTAAATTTGGACAGGTCAGGCTGGAAAGTAACACGTGTGAAGTCCTCGCCAACAAAATGCTTCAATTTTGTCTCTCCTGCCATAGTCATATTTACAGTCCATGTCTGCAAAGGAATTAAGACCAATAGAATTATTAGGTACATTAGTGGGAGGATACATTTCTTCTTCTACAGCAGGGGTGTCAAACTTGTGGCCTGTAGGCCAGATGCGTGACACGCAGATCTACGAAGGGAAAAAAATGTCATGTCACATGATGCCACCCGTGTTCTACAAAATACATTTTTTAATCTAGGCTTAAAATATATGTTCCTTGCTGGCCCAAACTATCTTAATTTCATCCCTTATGCTTATCACTAAATATTTGAGATACGCTTATCAGGAAGTATTGAGATGTTGAAATGGATTAAAAATCAAATATGAAACAAATTTAGGAGCTTAAGCTTTGGGGCTGTCCCTTAAAAACAATGAAATCAAATTTTTGGCGCAGTTTCTTATACCTGTTTAAAAAGCTTCTTATATTCCTTGCATGCTGTTTCCACTGTAAATTTGGTACTGAATATATTGCACAGCTTTGCACCATAACCATTTCGACCACCTGGAAAAATATTAATTACATATAATATTTTGTAACACTGAAGAGATATACAGTTCAGTTACAGGGTACATATGCTTATTCGTAATCCCCCACTAAAACCAATAGAACATTTCACAAATAAGCATGCACGCAGTGGTATTTGTAGAAAGAATTAGGCACTCCATATCCGTTCGCAGACAAAAATGTATGGTCGCCTTTTTGTAAAGAGAGAGCATTGCTTGCCCCTTTATTGCATTCAAAAAAACGGTGAAAGGATCAAGATGGGGGCAGTTCTCGATCTCCGCAATAAGGCAAATGGTAAAAATCAATATATACTATTTTAAATAATCTACATTTTCTGATCTCTTATTTAGTTACCACTCATTCCAGTGCAAGCAATAAGAAATTCGTAAGATGCTTCACTTATATGTATTTTTTGTGTGAAAGAGA